GTCAACATTGAGACAACCCAACACTAGCAAAGGTCTCAGTTTTAGTGTCGCATCATAGACCTTCACTAGGTTTTGAAGAAATCAAAGACGGATAACAGAACTCGCTTATGCAACAGATGGCTTACTTTCCATGTGGGATGGATAATTATTCAAAATGTTCTGTGTTGCAGTAAATTGCGCATGCTTAATAGGGACTAAACTCGCCTGCTGCTCGAGATTGTAATTCCCATACAACACGGCCGCTCATGTTGTAAACTATACATAAAAATACGAGATTATAACTCCAACAATAATGATAAGATGATTAACATAAATTATATCTATTTCTCACCGTCTAGCCCATGTACACACACAATCAAGTGTGTTTCTAAGCCGCGATCAACTTTGTCTTTACTAAAGTATGGCTCACGTTCAGATGTCAAACCGATGTCACTGTCAACAAAAATTATCAATAACAATTATTGCCAATCATGTGAATTTACTCTGTTGTCACGAGATTTATCCTTATCTAAACAATTTCGTTTACAGATGTTTCGGCTAATTTCATTGTTTCCTAAACGAGATCGTTTGAATGGATAAAAATTAGGGGCAACAAAGAAAAGGATAGTAATGAGTCATCTATCGTCAACTTAAAAAATATATATGATGTGTTTGTAACTCTGTTTGCAGATGGCGTCAAAAGGTACGAAACGAAATCGGGGGTTGTGACTGTTCGCATCACATTTTGACGTCTCCTGCGTATCTATTAGACGAAAAACGCACGAGAAAGGTATATAATAATCAGTCTCGTATCCAGAGCCCGCACTTTTGCTATCCTGCAGATGACAATGCGTAAGTGACTCTGGGGAATTGCGATATTCTTCGATTCGTGATTGGTTGAAAATGACGCGAGTGCGACATTGTTTTCAATTGAGCCTGACAGAGTTTTTCAATGAGTGTGTATACAAATCTTTTGCTCTAAGAGCGTCGATTAAAGTGGGGTAGGATCCCGTGTAAAGTAATCGGATACTACACTGTAGGCTGGAATCCGGAACCTGTGGTCTAGAATCAGGAGGGAAGTCCAAGTTTGGACTAATTCCTTATTCTAGTCAATGATTTCGTCCGGTTTTCAAATTTTTCTGCCAATTGAAAAATGTTTTCTGAATTTCAATTCTTGAAAAATCTAGATTCCGGATTCCAGGACTCCAAAGTTATATTTTTTTGGATTCTGAATTCCGGATTACATTACCGGGGGTGAGTAGTAGGCAAAGATACCTGTAAATTTGACAAGAAAACTTCAGCTGCCGTTTCATGTATCGCTTAGCCAGTTCAAACCTAGCACAATGACAAGAATGAAAGTGTTTTGTTATGATAGTAGAGCATATTTAGTCAGTGTACAAGTATTCACAAACTACAGTACTTTCGTACTATGACCGTTTTTCGATTCAATGTTTTTCATGTGTTTTCTATGCCATGATCAGTGCCGTTGGAGTCATACGAGATATATTCTTACACTTACAACAGAAATGACACTCATCGGGGCTGCTAGGGCTGACAACGAAGACGGAAAAGTCTAAGAATCTGATGGAGTGATTTTTTCTTCAATTACAATACATGTACCTGGATTTCACGCTCCCACCGTATACAGAATTTCCTCTAGTGAAGGACGGTGATGTGTTCCCGGAACAATTAACAGGTAGACATCCTGTTATCATGAGTCCTTTCTGATGAGCTTTCTTCTTGCCCTTTTTATTGATGCTTTGCGGTGGTGATTGCTTCTTTTCCTGTTGCCGCTGTTTTTGTACAACATCGTTGCCGTCCACATCGGATTGACCTAAGAAAGATGCCCGCGATGACCCTGGTGTTTCGTACACGCTGTCCCGACTAGGAGAATCCAAAGATGAAGATGATGTACTACCTTCTTTTGCACTTACAAATGTAACTACACTCGACGACTGCTTCATTTCGCAATTTTCTGGAAGCTTTTCATCAAGCACTGGAATTTCGCCACTTAAATTTTTTTCGTTCTCTGATAAAGTATTTTTATATAAAACAGGTTCAATGAGAGTTTCCTTTTCTTCTTGCATAGATATTTTAGAATAAGACTGTGCTTCGTCCGTGGCTAAATTTGGAGGTGCGTCATCTTGATTACTACTTTTGTCGCACTTTGCAGTTGGTTCCTTGCCGCTATCTTCAAATTCACTACCACGTATAGATACATCTTCAGTTTTATGGGGGTTGTCGAGGTCAGATGTACTGCTTTGTTTGTCCCTGAAGACATCCTCTCTGTTGAGTTGAAGTGGAACCAATTCATCTCTACTATCTTGGATAATATATTCAGAAACGGTGGTTTCTTCATGTTGTTTATGCGATTCTTGGTCATTAGTTTTTATCTCCTTTTCTTCACTGGTGTCATAATCACAACCGTTTCCGATATTCTCATCCAAAACTTTGATAGTTTCACTGCTTTCAATATGACTCTCTAGGTTGGTTTGGTCATCTCTTTCAGTCTCGATTGCTAAGTTTACATTCCTATTCAATGGCTCATCTAAGTTTTGATGACTATGCATTCCCTTTTGCTTTTCAAGAATTGTTCCATTCCATGATTCTTGGGATGCAATGGCTTCATTATTTTCACATTCAGCTCGTTGATTGTCGCTTTCTTTCATTTTCATCTCCACATCGAGAGATTCTTTATTGTTTGTAATCTGTTCCGTTTGCGTCTTTTGGCCATTAGTTTCATTTTGATTTTCACTATTTATATTCTTCGTAGAAATTGTTTGGCAGTTTTTTTCCGGAAAATCTTTTTCATCAGTTCTTTCTGACTTTTCATCGATAATTTCCTTTTCACCGATTCTGGTTTGACTGTCAATCTTTTGAAATTCATTTGCATTTTCTGGGATATCTTGCTCTATTTTTTCCTCTGGTAAATTTTGTTCATTACCTTGGTCTATTGACGTTTTCTCATTTATTGTAGCTGTTGTATCTTCACTTTTATTAATCTCAATGATTGTAGCAATATCCATATTTACCGCCTCGACATTCATTTTATGTGCAGAGCTATATCCGTGCACATCGTCAGTGACATATTGCTCTGTAAATTGTTCACAAACTGTTTCGTGTTTACAGATTTGACCATTCTCATTTGATTGTAAAATAGGGCAATCACTTACATTGGRATGCACAGACAAACTTCCAACACTGCAAAGGTTTTCAGTGATCAAGTGTTTACATTCAGAAAAATTATCCTCAACAGAGCAATAATCTTTACAATCTTGGCTTGACTTTTCATCTTCWGCATTATTCATGAGGGCAAATGATGATTCAGGCTCCTGCTGTGACATTATGATTTCTTGAAGAGCCTTGGATAGGTTACTATTTCCATCGTCTAAGTCATCATCTAATATCATGGTTTCTCTGACCGCTCTTTCTCCATTACACATCATACCACTTAACGGAAACGACGAATTGGGGTCGTCTTTAGATGCTGGGACATCATTAATATCTGAAGATTCAAAAGGTAAAGTTTTAGCGTTGATAAAACTCCCCTCCCCCTACTTTTTTMAATTACTTAAACGAGAAACTGACTGCTGACTGCTTTATCACATATAGACATGAGTGTTCTTGTATACGCCTCTCATAGATTTCCTACGAAAAACCGAGAGATGTCATAGTACATGCCATATGCTTCAGCGAGATGTCCTGACTAGTGAAACACATCGTTTTGTCATGTTTTTGAATTTTCCACTCATTTCGAGGTGCGCGCGTTGCAAAACACTAGTCATTGGGAGAGTTGTTTTTTCACATCAAATAAATCTTTCAGAAAAAAGGAAAATAATGAGAACAAAAACAAAAACAATATGAGAATATTGAACTTCAAAATGAACAGGAAAGTACAGAGCTTTATCCGAGATATTTTCACCGGCATCAAACGATGATAACAGTGGATGTACATGATGATTAAGAAGTTAAAAATTGTAAACAAAAACAAAAATATATTGTCTTCACTTTGAAAATGAAAGAGTAAAAGAAGCTTAATGGTTCGCGTCGTGGCTTCCAATGCTTCTCTCGTGTTCTCCATACATACCGCGTATTGATCAGAGTATTAAAAAAGGAAATCCGTTTTATATTCCTTAAGGTATCAGCGTACCCAAAACCGTCACATTTTAATGATTTTTCGATTTTTATATCATTGGAAAGATCGTTTGTGTTCTAGGTATTTAGTAAAGTTTTGAAAAGATACCAAGTTTACAACAAAAGTTATTGCGCTCAAAAGATTTTTTATTCTTAATTGGATTAATGGCGTTGGTGACAGCTCACATCAAAAGAGTTTTATATACGACCGTGTAGAGTCAGAGTCGATAGCATGCCGTAAGATACAAAAGAATATGTCTTTGGATTGCCAATGTGAAGGACCAATAAGCAATATATTCGATAAATATGCTCACCGGCAGTTTTCATATGGATTAAGTATTAAAGTCCGTCCTGGGATCCAGAGTTGATCACCCTCATGTTGTTGATTCTCGGTTAATCATATTCTGCTTCTTTTCCCTGTCTTTTCTCCGGATCACTCAATTTCTTTCTCTTGTATTAGTTTAGTTCATGATTTTACACGCTTTGATTTGAAACGGCCAAAATTTGCGAGAATAGGAATCAACTATACATTGAATCTTCTTGGCCTTTGGCATTTGAGTCCTGGACATTATCGAATATTAGCTTCGGCCTAACCCAAAGTTGCTAAAAAAATTGTATTTGTAGTAAAATCTTACGAGTTACAAGTTGATGTTTTTGAAAGTAAACTGACCGTACTACTTAAATCGCATAAATCGGTTTTATACCTGTCATCGCATCTTTTATGCTAACATGGCGTAGTTTCCGATATGGTGTTATAATCTGGTATTACCCGGTATAATCCCATTACGGCCTTAAAACTGTTTTTGACTCATTTCTCGAAACAAAATTTACGGCAAATAGGCCATACGTTTTTAACTCCAASACAGATACCCGTCAACCAATTTTATCCAAATTTCGTAGCAWTATTTACAAATAGTTAAGCAACAAAATTGTGTCTGGGATTTTGATAAGTCGTCTTTTTTCGAAAGTTATTCAAGGTTCTCTAAAGAACTTGACATAATTTTGCGTTCCTAAACTTTATTACGACATTAAATCAAAACGAGAGCGCGTATAAAAATCGCAGGCACAATTTTTGAGACAAATATGTGAACAAAAGAACAGCGCTCAAATTGATTTTTTTCCGATAATTCTTTCAGACTTGGAGTTCGTTTTATACAGACATGTAGTTTCAGATAATGGAGCTAATAACTCTAAAACGTAATTTTAAATGTATTATTTCAAACACTTAAGGCATAAACTACAGTTACTAAGCTTTCAGAAAATATATACTTTGTGAGCATTTCCAAAACAACAACTAGAATGTTATAGTCGATGACGCGAGTAGGGGTCGCGTGGGTACGCTGATACCTTATTAAATATGAAAATATTTAGGTAGTCAGAAATACCTGTTTCAATGTTGACAATTTCATCTTCAACGGCATTTTTGATTTCAAAGCCATCAATACCTACTGACAACTCGATTTTCTCCAGATCAGAATCACAACTTGCTCCTGAAACACCATATAAAAAAGTTCACATAGTTAAAAAACATCCTATCATTATCTTTCTTCAAGCTTTTGAATTATTATCAGTCCTCGGAATTTTCCTCGTCCAATTATATGGAGTCTTATTACCTATTAATTATATAGCCACATATTGATCCCAAATAGGTAAAAGCCAACCACAGCTTTTAACAATAACAGTAATGACACCTTCATTGAAAACCTGTCCAATTAATATCTTAATTGGACTGGATTCCAAAATTAACGAAAAATCCAGCTTTTACCTATTTGGGATTAATATGTGGCTATATAATTAATAGAGAAATACGGCAAATACGGAGATGCAGTGTCCTACTTTTTTAAAAACCATTTTTAAAAAACCGGTCAATCAACAGGTTAGTCAAGCCAGTAAATAAAAATGTTTTCGAAGAAAACATTATTTGCATTTATACGAAAATGTCCACCATTTTCGTACAATTTTCGACTGTGCAGATTTCTCCGAGATTTCTTTAGCCAGTAACCAGCGAATACAAAGTACAGTTGTATTTAGTGACAACTATGAGTGCAGTGTTGTTATATCAATCTTCACTAAAAACACACAATGTATAAGCTGAGAATTTCTAGAAAAGTAGAATGTAGATTTATACAATATAATTAAGCTAAAAAAGAGAAAAAATTGAATTCACGAGCCTCAGGACGCCATTTCCAACCTTTCCTCTTTTTTAGCTTAAAGGTATTATATATACCTTATAAATCAATACCACTTTCGTAGAAATTCTTAACGGCCTTATACATTAAGATTTTCAACTTATACAAAACGATTTKAAACATCTTCGAGTTTTCTCTCACGACATCGTAACTGCCAGTCCATCTCTCAGGTGAAAGAGTCAGAGAAACAATTTATTCTTGGTTTTCACTGATCACATGATATTCTAAAAAGGCTACTTAATGCGCTTTCCATTTGTCAGAACTGGCTGGCCAGACCCAGAGAAAAAAACCATTTAGTTTAATTCAAATTGTCAAACTCTATCCATTATTCTACAGAAAACCTCAAAATGACTGAAAAATGTTAACAAAAAAGCATTATATACCTCTAAATAGAGTGGACTGGCTAATTATAATTCATTAATTTATTTAGCTTTTCTGTAATGAAAGCTTGGCTTGCATTGTAAGGAAAACCAACACAAGATAAAATAACTAATTTACTCTTTAACGGTGGTTTAATTAGTTTAATGAGATATGGGGAACGATAGGCCACTACCAGAGTGTTGACAGTTAATAACCCAGCTTTACACATGTTTGTTTGTTTTGTTTTCCCACATCATATTTCAAATTCAAAATAAATGAAACTAGACCTTGGCAGCAGGGTTGACTCGTGCCACRAAATGTGTTGAAAATTGCAGGAGGAGCCGACGGAGTCTATTAGTCTTCTATATAACTGTTCTTGTACGAATTTTTT